TTTTGATTGGACAAATGGCACACTTAATTACCATGGTAACTTGCAATTGAAGGGGAAAAGGTACATGTAGTACAGTACTGTTTACTATTACGGAAATTCCAACATTTATTAAAATATGGATGAAGGATCAAGCATCTGTGTTAAGTTCGAATTTTAATTCTTGTGTCTAATTTAAATTACTTTGGCAATGATGGGGATACTCTTATAATCCTTAAATACATAGATGTATAGATATTCAGATTGTCATTTTATCCATGACATTTGCTGAGAATTATGGAATTATTATCTTGTCCTTTGGTTTTATGGTGTTATCAAGCGGTTGGCTTGCGTGATAACATAAACACAGGAGGCATTTTTTGTATAAAATTACGTGTACTATCATCACGATAGTCAATCGCTTGATCATCATCTTGATTTTAATCGAAAAATTGAGTTATTCCTTACTGTTACATGATTTCCTGATCTTGATCTTTGCCCAGCCCACTTCCGTTTAGATTTTTTAAAACTACGCCTTCTGATGGACCGACATATTTAAAATAAAAAAATATAATATCCTTAAATTCTAACATAGGTAATCAATTACAGAGTTTATTATAAATACCTCAACGGATGTTGTCTTTATGTAAGACAAAGTCCCACATTAAACTAACAATGTAGACTTGCACCCTTAACTTTAACCTAATCCATTATCTGGAAAATGTTTGTTAAATCCACCATCCGAAGCAAGTCAATTGTGTGCATCCTATTAAGTGTATCATCTATACAAGTTTTGTCATCATAGGGCTCATAGTTACTTAGAAATGAGAGCTGCAACAACAAAAACGAGAACCTGTTCACTCCCGGAAAATTTAGGTCAGATCTAGCTTACGAAGCAAGCCTTGTAGTGTACAACCTTATGATCAATGCAATTTTAGTCAACGTAGGTTTATAGTTACATGGAAATGAGACCTTCACTAAAACGTTAATCTGGTCAATTCTTTGCTGAAATTGCAGCGTCTGAAACCCTGACTGATGCAACGAGACAACTAGAAGCATCTTCCATGCATGTCTGGTCAATTTAGGGCATAGATGAACTGCAAAGAAAACTGCTCCAAAGACTTTAACCTGGGACGCTGAGGGTCCTTTTTTAGGGGAGAGGGCTATAACTCCTTAGGATCTCCGTAATGGTGCAATGCGGGAGCGGTTCACTCCCGCACGGATTTAGGCTCAAAATGTCAGTAAACGGCTACATGTGTATTTAATTAACATGTCTTACCGGGACTTCTAAATGTAGTTATCCCAGACATAAATCGATCCAAAAATATACAGAACAATCCATGTATCGTTTATTTTTCGTGTATGTCAACAACACAACTTAAATTCATCCGCCATATTTACTGACCAAGACAGATTTTATTCTGGGACAGCCAGTGAGATTAAGGATCTACATGTATAGGGAGCGGATTTCTTTGGAATTACCTTATTTTAAGCTAAATATCGCTGTTTACGTAAAAATAACACATGGAATGGTTTTATTTACTACCTGGTATTCATCACAATTATTTATAAACACCGACACCTGCTTTATTGAGTTACTCTAAAGGATGTATTCACTTTGACAAAAGAATTGACCTATAGGAGAGAATAATTAATTTCCCGGAAAAAGTGACATTTTAAAAATTAACCCTTAATTGTTGTTTTCTACCGTAAATATGTCTAAATTTTTCAAATATGTATTTTATACCTAAAATTTATTATTTACAACTTTACAATTAACCTCCAAAGTTGGCCGAGACCCCATTTTGTCCGTTAAAGCGTTGATTTTTGCATGAATTTTGGCCTAGAAGTCCTTCAGGGCAGACCTGTCCCCGAATAAAATTGTGATATTTTAATAGGTTTGGATGTAAGGAATGATTCAAGATAGAATTTTTTTAGAGGCACCCCTGCCCTAGGGTCGAAATTCACAAAAAACCTACAAAAATAAGGAAACTTGATATTGATAATCTGCTTTAAATTTATACCATTATATTATATAGTCAGACTAGCTCAGTTGATATGTGGGCTGACTATTACACCGTGTCCCACTCTACTTTTAAAGTCGGGGGTTCGAATCCACATTTAAAGTTTTTAATTTTCGTCTTTTCAAAGAATATTTTAAATTTTTTTATAGACTTGTGTATTTTTCTTCAATTACGAGGGCCGTTCAAAAATCTATCTCGTATCTATCCTTTTATGCATACCCATTCTTGATATAAGAAACACTAGAGAGAGATAAAATCGTAACAATCCAATGTACAGTTGTCAGTCAGGCGGAACAAACCTCAGTATAAGCACACTTTCTCCAAGGACATGAATAACTCACTCTGTCACCCCTACTTATGTTATTGTGATTTAAATTCAAGACACGTGGTTTAGGTTTACCTATTCAAAGGTTATAGGGTAGATCCGGTTTTATAGATAAAAATTAGCAGTAAACAGGAAATTGCTATAGTCTGTTTCTTCTGAAAACATGTCCTGTGAAAAATGTGTGTTGCCACACCTTTCTGAAAGACTTTCATTATTTTCAACAGAAATGGGTGGCTTAAGGGGGTAAATAACAATTGATATATCAAAGTTAACTGCAAAAAATTAAGCTCACTGGCGACCGATACGCTGGTAAAAAAATGTATAATATCATCTACACTGACAAACTTCCGTTTGCCTTATATGGCTATTGCTATTAATGCGCACAGAGGATCTTACCACGATCAACTGACCAATCAAATGTTGTTTGAATACGTTTACGCCAAATACATGTTTACGTGTTACTTCGAACACGTGGTTCAGGTCAATCTATGATCATGTCAATGGAGTGCAAAATAAAAAAATGTTCTCATGAACAAAATGCAAACATTAGAAACTATGAAAAATATTACGGGCTTTTTAAATTTGTTGTTAACTAGAGAAAAATATGTTTAATAAAATGTATACGTGGTTCGTGTCAGGTTTAGAACACCAGCACTTCAAGGGTAAGGAAAATGAGCAGCTTTTCGTATGCATTTAAATGGACAAAACATTTTTAACATAACTATACTCGTGATCACGTGTGTTGGCCAGGGAATCCACCTGGCAATTGTATTCACCGATAGTACAATAAAGGAATTTATCAAGCGTAAAATTCCTGTAGTATTCGTATAGTAACCCATAATGCAATTCTCATTCATCTGATTTTTCAGTTAAAGTCACATGCCTCATTTGCTAATCTGACGCCAAAAAATATAGTCCCGATTCCCATGCAAAATATTTGTCCAAAAAGAAATTTTAATTCATGACAGCAGAAAATTGTATCATAGAGAATACTTAAAAATAATTTAAACTTGAATGGATTCAAGAAAGATCGATTGAAGTACATTTAGAATTACATTATAGGGTGGTGAAAACTAAAACATAACTTTTCTGTTTACCATGTCTCCACGTGCTAGTCATTTCCTAGCCACATTTCCGTGAATAATTTACCCTATCTCGCTGAAGTCTCGCTAGCTCTCGCCAGAGCCACTGTCAGAGCTACTCTGAACTCATCGGGTCTTATAATGTGCAGAACACCGAAAAATAAAAGGTTCCGAACACATTAGTAGGGATGTCTGTGTTACTTGATACAGCTATTCTTGGCAGCATTGAGCTGCGATGAATTTCAATAGACTAGTATATACTAGTATTCCTTAGAATTTAATCACATTGATTTTGGCTACATATATCATTAACTGTACTCTCTTGGATTTCATTTAGGCCTATATAATTTGCACACATTTATGACATGTTTTATTATATTCACGGATAAATAGCCTAGACATAAAGAATAGAATTTCAGAGACAGTAGACCTTACCATTATGCAAATGAGAAGTAAAGAAAAATATCAATTATTACATTTGGAAATAAAGATTTAGGAAAAACAAGTTGTTATATGTATTTAGCCTAATGTCATTAATCAGAACGGAAATCGTCAAGCTTTTTGTAGAGAAAAAAAACCAAGCCTGGTCCTATAGGTCAGATCCCTGTTTATATTGAAGTGATCCTTTCAAGCTTATGTCTCAGTACGTCACGCGTGAGCTGTCATGGCTGCTGAGTAGAAGCGACAGGTAAACACTCAGATTTATTTTACATGGTTATTGCGTTAAACGGGCTATGTTGTCGACAGTGAATAAAAATCTCATCTTATTAGAAGTAAGTTGAATATAAAAACAATTTATTCTGCCTGCAGTTGCCCGTATTAAAAAATATTTTTGCACCATTACGGAGATGCTGTGGAATTGTAGCCCTCTCCAGAAAACATCAGATTAAAAAATCGGAGAGGGCTATATTATTGCAGCTAGGGTAAACAGCTCTTGTAGTAAAGTAAGCTTTATTTGAAAGTAAAAAGTTGGGAAAATGCGTTATTGTAGATTTTGCCTGTTTAATGAAGGGTGAAATTATTGAAATATGGTTTGATGTTATCAATTTGAGTTCAGTGACATGTACCGTTTTGCATTACATGTACGTCACCATCCTATGTCGACAACTGCACTCAAGGTAAATAGTAAATGCCTCCTTACCGCAAGCTTATGACTGACAGTTTCTCCTTATCCATGATTGGTGATGTTGCAACAGATTATTTCCCTGACGTTTACAAATTGAGTCGACATATAACGGGGCGTGAATTGTTCGGTGGGCGCTTCTGTCAAAATAGATCGAGACTGTGACGTAATGCTAAATTGTACACTGACTTCATCATGGGGATCCTGTACAGTTTGAAATGTTTTTACATGGTTCTCGAAAGTAATGTTTATACTGAAAAATGCTGTAATCCTTCATTAATTTGCAAATGAATTTACTCAAAATGAACACAATGTCAACCCATTAGCAAACTTGTGAATCCAAGTTTACGCTTTTGGACTTGGCAACACTTCTATTTGCTGTTATCATGTGTTTGCATCGTGGGACAAGAAGCAACAAAATGTTAGGATACGAGAAATTAAGAAAGGAAGAGAAATGAAAACAACAAAGCTGGAAAATGATGAACTTTAATTTGCGAGTGTTCATTTTCATACTCTCATACAATGTGAGTACACGCCTGTACAGATATATATTAAGCAAAAATAAAGCCTTTTAAAAAATAAATACTATTTAAAAGACTTAATCTCTGTAGGCATAGACGTTATAATAATGTTATATGGAATATAATATACAAACTAATATGGAGAGGGTATTATTATCAACCGCATGAATCCTTAGTGTTCGACAATCCAACAACAAAATGTTCACTGTTAGATCCAAATGTGTATAATACAAGGTTTTGCATTGATTTTTCGCTTATTTCCAAATGATTTGTGTATTAATAGCATATAGCCTTTACCATTCTGAATGTCCTTTTTTAATAGCATAGTCTTGTGAATTTATCCGTACATTGCACATTTAACCTCTGCATTCATGGGGGTCTTTGCTGGACAGTTAAAAGCTGTAGAAAATTCCTTTATCTGCGATAAAGCACTATTCGTCCTGTAATGAATTCCAAAAATAGATATTTCTAAAATGGATTAATTATTTATTGTCAAAAAGGTTGACCAAATGTTAGTGAAAAACCTGCAATATATCGATTGACATTTTTCTCTAAACCAAGTGCGTTTGCTTGCTTGTAAGGCACCTGTGTTTTTGTCAATAAAGAAGATTGGGGAACAAGGCGGGCAGAATGCCTATAGCGTCCGATATTAAGAAATCATGTATTCAGTACGTGAATTAATTGAGTATTTCAATTAACTTCTAATTATTGAAAGTTTTGAAATTATGAGAAAAAAAACTTTTCTGAGAGAAAAAAAAATTTCTTTCATAAAATTAATAGATGGTATTCGTGGGATTCGAACCCCTAGCAATAAAAATCCGACGTATCAATAGCATACTGCTTTGAAACTAACGCGTTAACCACTATGCTACATCACTCATGGTGATACTGGGCATTTAAATCATGTTTGTGATGTGACCCGCGACTTAATGGACTTGAAGTATTTTTTCGGAAAGATGCGAATGTTGTGTCATAAAAGTGTACTTTTAAGGTATAGTGGGTCCTCGCTCCATGTTTTTGTAAACCAAAAAATATGTATTTTATTGCAAACTTTCAGGATCATCCTTCAAAAAAATGGAGCGAAGACCCACTCATATTAAAAAAGTTTGTTAAAGTACGAGAAAATGATCATATTTGTTCTTTTAAGTGTATGTAATCTTTTTCATAGGCAAATATTTTCTGTTTTTGTGAGATTTTTGTAAATTGTAGAGATTTTACATAAAGAATACTTTAATATTAGATGAAATATCAAATGAAATTTGGATTTAATTGAGATGAAAATTTTCACTTCTTATCTGTCGCTCTATAGACACTTTGCCCGCCTTATCCCCCCATCTTCTTTATTTTACCTAATGTCTTCGGAAACTGTTCCTCGCACTGCATTATAATACGCGACATTGTCATTTCTGTTATAGCAGCTGGCCTGAAATAGAACAGAAACGGCATATCAACATCTACAGTCCAGTACGCCTAGGTCTTTAATGAATAAACCGGATTTCCTTTACACGGGAGACAACTTTAAAATGCAAATCAATTCGTTAAAAAAATACCTGAGCGTACGAAACGAAGAACATCTGGTCATTAGTCAGTCCTAAACCTGGAGCAAGCTTTTCTCCTCCGTTCTTTTGAACCCATTTCTTGTATGCCTGCAAACAAGAGGTAACACATTTTCATATTTTTCATGTTCGATCATATTTATGTTTCCCTTCCATCCAAAAAAAATCTGTTTCAAAATTTAAGGTATAACTGTTTAATATATACGCACCTTGTATGCAATTTGGACACCGCTGGTTTCAGCCATGGCTTCCGCCGCCCAACGTTGTCCGTTTACTTTTACCTGCATAAAAAGATATTTATGATAGATTATCATATATTAATAAAAGTGTACTGTTAAAATTCTTTACAAACTATACTCAAAATATCTTTTATTTGTTGATAAATAAAGAGCAGAATTAAGGTAACTTTTCTCTACACGAGTTTAAACCTCTAGTTTCTGAAAATACCAAGTGAAAGCATTTCATTTAAGCCAAAAATTGATTACTTAATA